TCATGGTGTATGATCCTTTTGATATACTGTTGAATTCTGTTTGCTAATATTTTATTGAGTATTTTTGCATCTACATTCATCAGGGATATTGGTCTGTAATTTTCTTTTTTGGTGGGGTCTTTTCCTGGTTTTGGTATTAGGGTGATGTTGGCTTCATAGAATGAGTTTGGGAGTATTCCCTCTTCTTCTATTTTGTGGAACACTTTAAGGAGAATGGGTATTATGTCTTCTCTGTGTGTCTGATAAAATTCCGAGGTAAATCCGTCCGGCCCCGGGGTTTTGTTCTTGGGTAGTTTTTTGATTACTGTTTCAATTTCTTTGCTTGTAATTGGTTTGTTTAACTTTTGTGTTTCTTCCTTGGTCAGTCTTGGGAGGTTGTATTTTTCTAGGAAGTTGTCCATTTCTTCTAGGTTTTCCAGCTTGTTGGCATATAGGTTTTCATAGTAGTCTTTAATAATTCTTTGTATTTCTGTGGAGTCTGTCGTGATTTTTCCATTCTCATTTCTGATTATGTTGATTTGTGTTGACTCTCTTTTTCTCTTAATAAGTTGGGCTAGAGGCTTATCTATTTTGTTTATTTTCTCAAAGAACCAGCTCTTGGTTTCGTTGATTTTTGCTATTGTTTTATTCTTCTCAATTTTGTTTATTTCTTCTCTGATCTTTATTATGTCCCTCCTTCTGCTGACTTTAGGCCTCATTTGTTCTTCTTTTTCCAGTTTTAATAATTGTGATGTTAGACTATTCATTTGGGATTGTTCTTCCTTCTTCAAGTGTGCCTGGATTGCTATATACTTTCCTCTTAAGACTGCTTTCGCTGCATCCCACAGAAGTTGGGGCTTAGTGTTGTTGTTGTCATTTGTTTCTATATATTCCTTGATCTCTATTTTGATTTGTTCATTGATCCATTGATTATTTAGTAGCATGTTGTTAAGCCTCCATGTGTTTGTGAGCCTTTTTGTTTTCTTTGTAGAATTTATTTCTACTTTCATACCTTTGTGGTCTGAAAAATTGGTTGGTAGAATTTCAATATTGTGGAATTTACTGAGGCTCTTTTTGTGAGCTAGTATGTGGTCTATTCTGGAGAATGTTCCATGTGCACTTGAGAAGAATGTATATCCTGTTGCTTTTGGATGTAAAGTTCTATAGATGTCTATTAGGTCCATCTGTTCTAGTGTGTTGTTCAGTGCCTGTGTGTCTTTACTTATTTTCTGCCCGGTGGATCTATCCTTTGGGGTGAGTGGTGTGTTGAAGTCTCCTACAATGAATGCATTGCAGTCTATTTCCCTCTTTAGTTCTGTTAGTATTTGCTTCACATATGCTGGTGCTCCTGTATTGGGTGCATATATATTTAGAATGGTTATATCCTCTTGTTGGACTGAGCCCTTTATCATTATGTAGTGGCCTTCTTTATCTCTTGTTACTTTCTTTGTTTTGAAGTCTATTTTGTCTGATATTAGTACTGCAACCCCTGCTTTCTTCTCACTGTTGTTTGCCTGAAATATGTTTTTCCATCCCTTGACTTTTAGTCTATGCTTATCTTTGGGTTTAAGGTGAGTTTCTTGTAAGCAGCATATAGATGGGTCTTGCTTTTTTATCCATTCTATTACTCTATGTCTTTTGATTGGTGCATTAAGTCCATTTACATTTAGGGTGACTATTGAAAGATATGTACTTATTGCCATTGCAGGCTTTAGATTCGTGGTTACCAAAGGTTCAAGGTTAGCTTCTTTAGTATCTTACTGCCTAACTTAGCTCGCTTATTGAGCTGTTATATACACTGTCTGGAGAGTCTTTTCTTCTCTCCCTTCTTATTCCTCCTCCTCCATTCTTCATATGTTGTGTGTTTTGTTCTGTGCTCTTTTTAGGGGTGCTCCCATCTAGAGCAGTCCCTGTAGGATGCCCTGTAGAGGTGGTTTGTGGGAAGCAAATTCCCTCAGCTTTTGCTTGTCTGGGAATTGTTTGATCCCACCATCATATTTAAATGATAGTCGTGCTGGATACAGTATCCTTGGTTCAAGGCCCTTCTGTTTCATTGCATTAAGTATATCATGCCATTCTCTTCTGGCCTGTAGGGTTTCTGTTGAGAAGTCTGATGTTAGCCTGATTGGTTTTCCTTTATAGGTGACCTTTTTCTCTCTAGCTGCCTTTAAAACTCTTTCCTTGTCCTTGATCCTTGCCATTTTAATTATTATGTGTCTTGGTGTTGTCCTCCTTGGATCCTTTCTGTTGGGGGTTCTGTATAATTCCATGGTCTGTTCGATTATTTCCTCCCCCAGTTTGGGGAAGTTTTCAGCAATTATTTCTTCAAAGACACTTTCTATCCCTTTTCCTCTTTCTTCCTCTTCTGGTATCCCTATAATACGAATGTTTTTCCTTTTGTATTGGTCACATATTTCTCTTAGTGTTGTTTCATTCCTGGAGATCCTTTTATCTCTCTCTATGTCAGCTTCTATACGTTCCTGTTCTCTGGCTTCTATTCCTTCAATGGCCTCTTGCATCTTATCCATTCTGCTTATAAATCCTTCCAGGGATTGTTTCACTTCTGTGATCTCTTTCCTGACATCTGTGATCTCCTTCCGGACTTCATCCCACTGCTCTTGCATTTTTCTCTGCATCTCATCCCATTGCTCTTGCATTTTTTTCTGCATCTCTGTCAGCATGTTCATGATTTTTATTTTGAATTCTTTTTCAGGAGGACTAGTTAGGTCTGTCTCCTTCTCAGGTGTTGTCTCTGTGATCTTTGTCTGCCTGTAGTTTTGCCTTTTCATGGTGATAGAGATAGTTTGCAGAGCTGGTACAAGTGACCGCTGGAAGAGCTTCCCTTCTTGTTGGTTTGTAGCCTTTTCCTGGGAGAATAGCGACCTCTAGTGGCTTGTGCTGGGCAGCTGTGCGCAGACAGGGCTTCTGCTTCCTGCCCAGTTGCTTTGGGGTTTATCTCCGCTGTTGCTGTGGGCTTGGCCTGGCTGGGGCTGTTCCTCCAAAATGGTGGAGCCCCGTTGGAGGGGGAGCGGCCAGGAGGCTATTTATCTCCGTAAGGGGCCTCTGTGCTCCCTGCTGCCCAGGGGGTTAGAGTGCCCAGAGATCCCCAGATTCCCTACCTCTGGACTAAGTGTCCTGCCCTGCCCCTTTAAGACTTCCAAAAAGCACTCTCCAAACCAAAACAACAACAACAAAAATTAAATGAATAATTAAAAAAAAAAAAGAAAAGAGAAATGCATGATTTTCTTTGTCCTAAGGCACTGGTCTCAGGCACCCGCTCACCAGTCTTGCTGCCCTCTTTCCCTAGTATTGGGTACCTTGTCCCTTTAAGACTTCCAAAAAGCACTTGCAAAAAAAAAAAAAAAATGGCTGCTCCCATTTCTTTGTCCTCCAGCGTCAGCCTCAGGCACCCGCTCACCGGTCCTGCCACCCTGTTTCCCTAGTATCCAGGACTCCGCGCATGCACTGTGTCTGCGCTCTGGTCCGGATGGCTGGTGCTGGGTGTTCAGCAGTCCTGGGCTCCTTCTCCCTCCCACTCAGATCTTTCTCTTCCCACTGGGAGTTGGAGGGAGGGGCACTCGGGACCCACTGGGCTGGGGCTTTTATCTTACCCCCTTCGTGAGGCATTGGGTTCTCACAGGTGTGGATGTGGTCTGGATGTTGTCCTGTGTCCTCTGGTCTCTATTTTAGGAAGAGTTGTCTTTGTTATATTTTCATAGATATATGTGGTTTTGGGAGGAGATTTCTGCTGCTCAACTCACGCCGCCATCTTGGCTCCGCCTGCCCAGTTTCATTCTTTTGCATGTAGCTGTCCAGTTTTCCCAACATTTATGGAAGAGACTTTTGCTCCATTGTATATAATTGTCTCCTTTGTCATGTTAATGACATTGCTAATCAATTAATTGGCCATACAGGCATGATCTTCTTGGCTTGCTATTATGTTCCATGGATCTATGTGCCTATTTTTGTGCCCATATTGTACTCTTTTGATTACCATAGCTTTGTAGTGTAGTTTGAAGTTGGGGTGTGTGACACCTCTAGCTTTGTTCATTCTCAAGTTTGCTTTGGCTATTCAGGGTCTGTTGTGGTTCCATACAACATTTAGGATTATTTGCTCTAGTTCTATGAAAAATGCCATTGGTCTTTTAGTGGGGATTGCAATGTATCGTAGATTGCCTTGGGCACTATGGCCATTTTAAATAATATTAATTCTTCTAATCCATGAGCATGAATATCATTCCATTTATTTGTGTTGTATTTAATTTCTTTCATCAATATCTTGTAGTTTTCAGAATACAGGTCTTTTACCTTCTTGGTTAAATTTATTCTTAGATATTTTATTCTTTTTGATGCAATTAAAAATGGGACTGTTTTCTTCATTTCCCTTTGTGCTAGTTCATTATTAATATATAGAAATGCAACATATTTCTGTGCATGCATTTTGTACCCTGTGACTTTTACTAATTCATTTATTAGGTCTGTTTTTTGGTATAGTCTTTAGGGTTTTCTTTTTTTTTTTTTTTAACTTTTTAAATCATGTGTTTATTTACCTTATTTTTAAAATATATAAATTTTGAAAACATATCAAGATTGTGTAATAATGACTTTTTATAAAAACTTCCAGTTCCACAAACTATCGAATAATTCATCCCTGATAACAGAGACAATGCGGGATGTGACAATGGTGGGGTGGGGGTGGGTAGCGCAGGCTCTAAGACAAAGTTAGCTAAGGTGGGGCCACCTCAGTGTGAGTCAGGCTACAATAAGAACTTCATCATGGAGTATCTACTACAGGCATCTTTCTTCGCATTTAAATTACTCTTCCATTTCTTCTTTAAGCCTTTCCTCTATCTCTAGCTCCTGAATAAGCCCTCATCATAAACACCCATTCATTTTGTTTTTTTCCTCCCTTTTGCCCCACTTGCATAACATAGAGATTGTCCTTCAGCAAACTACCAACTTCTGTAGAAAATCAAAATGCAATCACAGATAAAAGATTACCAAATTTAAAACTTCAGTACTCTAAAAAATGCATGATTTAATCATCAATTGCCCAAAAGCATTCTTTGTTTCTTTTCCAGGATGATGATGATTCTTCATACATTTCCTTTTTCCATATGGGTACATTGGCTTTTAAAGTCTCAATGGCATAGCTCACAGCTTCAAGGGATGCAGTCCTGTGGGCTGAGGATATAGCAATGATAATGCTTGCTTCTGACACTGGAACTAAGCCAAGTCTATGGAACACTGCTATGTGTTTGACTGGCCATTTCTGCCTAATATCACTACAAATTTTTCTGACTTCATTTTCTGCCATTGGTAGATATGCTTCATGTTCTAAGCTTATGATTTTTTTCCCTTCACAGTTATTTCTTGTAGTCCCTACAAATAGGGATATTGTACCACAGAGTGGAGAAATCACCAACTGTGAGAGTTCATTGACTGAGAGTTTGTCTGCAGTGAATTTTATTATATCTATAGATTTCTCTTCAACTTCATTCATTTATTTCCCAGGTGGCTCAAAAGCACTACCCTCTACTAATGGGAGGGATAATGACAATTTCATCTCCTGATTGAAGCTGGAGGAGTTGATCTCCAAACTTGACATATTCTTGACAAACAGCAAATATCACTTGATTTCTAATATCAGCCAATTCAGGATGTCGCGTTTCTATCTCATTCCAAAGATGCAACGCTTTTATTTCTTGTGGCACAGAAATGGTCTCTGAGTGAATTCCTGCTATTTCAGCACGTTCTACAAAATACAATACTTGAACCTGGCATCGTGGGACCATCCCATAGGCATCTCTGGTCGATTTCCTGGCCCTTAGGGTTTTCTATATATAGTATCATGTCATCTGAAAATAATAGCAATTTTACTTCTTCCTTACCAATTTAGATGTCTTTTATTTCTTTTTCTTGCCTCATTGCTGTAGCTAGGACTTCTAGTACTATGTTGAATTAAAGTGATGGGAGTGGGCATCCTTGTCTTTTTCCTGATCTTAGAGGAAAACCTTTCAGCTTTTCACCATTAATTATGATTTTAGCTGTGGATTTTTCAAATATGTTCTTTATCATATTGAGGTATGTTCCCTTTATACCCATTTTTTTGAGAGTTTTTGTCATGAATGGATGTTGAATTTTGTCAAATGCCTTTTCTGCATCTATCAAGATGATCACATCATGGTTTATATCCCTCCTTGTGTTAATGTGGTGTGTAACATGTCAACTGATATGTGGACGCTGCATTTCTAATGTGTTTGGGTAATGCTAATGTTGCTGTTTAAAGAACATACACTTTATATAGCAAGAAATTCTTTATTAGAAAAATTCAGAAAACTAAGTTTTCAAAGAGCAAAAGATAGAATAGATTACCTTAAAAGAGGAATTAAAAGTTAGTGTGACAAGTGATTCTTCTTGGGTAAAATTAATGCAAAGAGCTAACAGTGATATCTTTAAAGTATTGTGGGAAAATAATTTGAACCTAAAATTCAATAGTAAGCCATACATAAGTCATTTCTAGACCTTAAAGGATGCAGTTTATCATTCAGTGATCAGTTTTAAAAGAAGTAGAAGATCAACTCATTGTAGAAGAAAGTTTATTATAAAAGTAAGGACATAAAAAGTAAAAGGGTATAGGCAGCATAATGTAGACATTAAGAATAAATGCTCTAGGCATAGCCAAAGTTCTGGATCCATCAATTAATTATCTGACCTTAGGAAAATCATATAATATCTCTTTGCCTCAGTTTGTATGTTAAAAACAATGAGGATAATAATAGTATCTATTTCACAGGGCTGTTACGAAGATTAAATAAATTGATAATTATCACGTACTTCACAAAGTGCCTGGTACATGGCAAAGACAATATGAATTGTTTGCTACTACTATAATTGTTATGATTATCATTATAAGAAACTACTAAGAGCAGTAAAACTCATTGCTAAATCTTTAGAAGTGTTCACTGTACAGAAAACAAAAATAATCTTAGACTAAAATTCAAGATTGTTCCAGCTGGGATGAGGGAATATATGAGGAAGTGGAGAAAAGTGAAAACATGATGTAAATTTACATATGTGTTTTCCAAAATTATAGGCAATCAGTAGGAGAATGAGTTTATAATATCTGAAATTAAAACAATAAACAAAAGTGGAACAAAGAAAGTACTTTGTTCCTAAGAAAGTACTTTTAATCCAACAATAGATAGGAAAAGAGAAAAAGAATAAAATTCACAAGAATGTATAACATTCTAAAATTGAAATAAAAGCAGGATTAAGTAAAAAAACGACCTTTAATGAATTGGTTGAATGGACCTGTTTAAGACAAAGTCTCTCTGACTACATCAAAAAAATTTAGCTCTGAGTCGTTAGTAAAATATACATCTAACCCAAAATGGTACAGAAAAGTTGAAATTGTAAGTATGATGACCAAATTGTGTCCATTTCATGAATGAAACCTTATATTAGAATATTATTCGCTTATATTAGAATATTAATCAACATAATTGACTACAATATAGTACAGAAGAAAACTCATATTATCTCAATAGAAGCAAAACAATTACTTGATAAAATTCTACATAAAAACTTTTATGATAAAAGCATTTAGCAAACTAAGAATAGAGGAAAACTCCCTTAATCTAATAAACAGCAGCTACAGAAAATTTATAACAAATATAGGACCAAGATAAAGATGCTTACTATCTCACTTCTAATTAACATTATATTGTAGGTCCTAATCAGTGCCATGAAGAAAGAAAAATAGATGGTATATATATTGAAAAGGAAGAAATAAAGCTATCCGTCCACAGATGACATAGCTGTATATATAGAAAATCTAAAGCAACCTACAGATAAATTTGAATTAATGAGTATAGGAAGGTTGTTGGAAATAAAAGTAGAATGGAGAATAAACAATGTTTCTAAATATCAGCAACAAATAATAAGAACAACAAAAAAATGTAAGGTACTATTTATAATTGCATCAAAAACTGTCAAATGCCTAGGAACAAATGTAATTAAATATATTCAGGACCTTTATCCAGGGGAAAAAAACCCTGATTAAGAAAAATTAAAGAATATCAAAATAAATAGTGCATTGCATAACTCAATATTTTAAATGCATCAATTATCTCCTAATTGAGCTATAGATTAAATATACTGTCAATCAAAATATTAATTTTTGGTGGAAGTTGACAAATGGATTCTAAATTTATATGGAAATACAGTGGGTTATGAATAGTGAAGACACTTCAAAAGTCCATAAAAGTGAGTTTTGTTTTAAAAGATATCAAGACTTCTTATAAAGCTATAGTAATTAACATAGAAGATAGGCCATTGGGTAAGAAAGTCCAGAAACAGACCTATACGTATATGGAAACTGTATATATGACCAAGGTGGCATGACAGAGTAGTGGGAGTGGGAAGAGTGGTCCTTTAAGTCAATGGTGCTGGCTTAGTTGGGTTTCCCTAAGCCAGAGGGAAATGTTCTCACCAGTAGGGAATTGCGGGGTGGTGGTGGGGATACTTGGCCCTAGCTTACACCAAACACAAAAATCAGTCTAAGGAGATTATGGATTAACTGTGAAAGGTAAAACAGTAAAATTTCTAGGAAATAATATAGGAGAATATTTTTATGACTTTGGATAGGGAATGATTTCTTAAACAAGATACAAAAGTACTAACAATGAAGGATTATGCTAACAATAAATTGTAGTAAATTAAAACAAAGAATTTTTATTATATTGTTAAACCACTGTGTTGTATATTTGAAACCAATATAAGATTGTATATCAAAGATACTTCAATAAAAAAAAGAATTTCTATCATTAAGGGAATAAAAAGGGAAGTTGCTGAATAGAAGACAAAATCTGTAACACATTTAAAAAAGCTCTAGTATCCAGAATATGTTAAGAACTCCTTACCAATAAATCAGAAAAAAATACCTAAAACCCATTAGAAGTATGGGAAAGAAACTTGAACAGGCGCTTTTCTGCCTTTATTAGACATCAGGGAAATGCAAATAAACAAAACCAATGGAATATCACAACACACCCATATGAATGATTCAAATGTAAAAGACTGATGGTCCTGAGTGTTGACGGAGATATGGGATGTTAAGCTCATATACTACTGTGGGACTGTAAATTAGGAATTTTGAAAAATAACTTGGTGTAATCTACACATTTAAAAATAAAATATACTTACCTTATGAACTAAAATTCCACTCCTAGTTATATACCAATAGAAAACTATATACATGTAGCAAGAGTTATGTACCAGAATGTTTGTAAGAGCATTTGTAATAACCAGCCTAAACTAGAAACAATGCAAATTCCCACTGACAATAGAACAGATAAATAAATCATAGTATATTCATACAATGATATACTACACACAAAAGAAAATTAATGAACGACATTTACACACAATAATATGCGTGACTCTCAAACATAATGTTGAGTGAAAGAGCTACACACAAAAGAATATATACTATGTGATTTTATTTATATAAAATACAACTACAGGCAAACTCAATTATAGTGTTAGAAGATAATATAGTAGTCATTTGTAGGAAAGGGAGAGAAATTATTAGAAGTTAGCATAAGGGCACTTCTGGGGTTCTGATAATGTTTTATTTATCTGCGTGATAGTTACATGGATATTCACTTTTTGATAATTCAAGTAACCGTATGTTCATTTACTTGACACTTTTCTGAATGCTGTATTCTGTATACTTTTCTCTATGAGTTATACTTCAATAAAAAGTTTAACAATTCAAGGATGGAGAAATTCACTCCAAATAGGGTACCCAATACAAAACAGGGAGAGAAATATTAATATTTGAAAAAGTATAACTTGAGACAGATCACCACTAAAATTATTGAAAAGGGTATTTAATATTGGTATTAAAAAATTCACCAGGAAGATGTAAAAATCATGGATCTGATCTTTGTGGCTTAATAACATAACTTTGAAATATATACAGCAAAAATACGGACAGATTTTTATTGAAAGTTGCTATTAGAAGAGATGGATCAAGAATTCAAAACAAGCATAATATAGTAAACAAAATAAGTAAAGATAATAGCAAAACAAAGAAAAACCAGAAAACATAAAAAGTAACACATTAAAATATTTGGTATAAAAATATAGATCACAATATTTGGAGTAAACTAAATAATGAATACAGCTGGGTAATGAAATAGTGAGTTGAAAAATAAGATTGAAGAACTCTACCAGTAATAGCAGGAAAGAATAAAAAATTAGAAAATATAATATAATAGGTAAGAGAGATGAGAATAGCAGTAGATGTACCAATATGTGGATACTAAGGGCCCCAGAATGATAAATATATGAAATTAGAGACAATAGTATACTCAAAGAAATTATGGAAGTAAATTTCCCTAATTAAAGACAAAAGAGTTCAGGTTGAAAGGGTTACTCAGGAGATGTAAGGAAAAATCCATACCTAAGTAATTTACAGTAATATTTAAGAAAATCAAAGCAGAAAATTCCAAAGGCAATAGAAATATTATCTACAAAAAAAGAATTAGATTGACATCAGACTTTTCAATGGCAAGACTAGATGCAAGTTAAAATAGAGGAATATTTTTTCAAAGTTCAAGGAAAATCACTTTGAACATTTAAAAATCAGCCAAACAGCCATTCAAATATGAGGGTTTCATAATATTGTGAAAATATTTGCAAGCATACAAGGCTTCAAAAGATTTGCCACACAAATACCACAGTAACAATAATTTTGATGAAGGTACTTAAATAAGAGAAAAATGAA